GAATGATATTAGTGTAGCAGACGGCTAACACCAGTTGTTTATGTTAATTTTTCCCACATGTTCTTTAGATGATAGTAAGCAATAAAAAATACAGCACAATAGTTAATATTGACGACTGACTCGCCAACGTATTATTTGTTTTGTTGTTTATTTTCTTACTGTATTTACATCAGTGAGTTCTGATATGATAATCATTTCTTGTGCACATGCTTTATTTGGTAGATAATTAGGCGCCTAGGTGCACACTACTGTTTCTTCTTGGCGGTAATATGGCGATATCTCATCCCAATATGAAGAGCCAATCATATTGATGTATTTCAAAATACTCTGCTGCCCAGGCCGGGTTGACCCTGATGCTCAGTATATGCTCATGAGCCGTTGGTATAGTCGGCTGCTCTCATGTCCACACACAAAAAAAATACACCATATCATAGTAAAGTCTTTCTGTTTAATAAGGGGGGAGGGGAGTCCGGGGGGGGCTCTAGGAAGTTAGGTAAGGTTAGGTAGGTCTGTTTGGTTAGGTTGGTGACGTCTTCTAACAGTATAATTTAGAAGTTATCACTTTTTAACACATTTGTACAAACTTCGACAGTGTCCAAACACAGTGAACTTGCAGGATTTTAAAAATAGTATTCTATGAAAAATCAGCTACGAGTCGGTCGTTAATAATTACCCAATACAACAATTGGTTAATATTCGTCCAGTGGCTGTCTGAAAGTTTCCGCTTTTCAATATAACGGAAAAAACGAATCATATGTCATATCATTTATTGTGCATATCAATATTAATGGAATCTCTTGCAAATTTCTACACGTATATTTTTGTTCCCGCCATGTTTACCTGAGGTTCTACTCCTCACTTAGAGTACACTCGGTAAAAAAGCTATATTTACAATTCTTTTGAGGAATAAAATTACATCACGTACGAAGGTTTTTGATAAAGCAAATAACTAATTTTATAATTTGAATGAAATAATTAAATTAGGCCTACCGTAATAGGTAGGAAATGTCTCGCAATCACACCTACCAACCCTAGCGACAAAACACGATCGTTCAATGCGAAATTCATAGGACCCTTCCTGAAAGATACTTTTACCGAGTTTACATAGCCTAACCTATGTTAGGGGGCCGACTAATTACCAAAATGTACCCAAATGTAGCCGCAATGACGTCAAATAATGGTCCTACATGAATAAATCGGACTGCCAATCACTTCTCGACTGGTATTTGGTGTTACGAATCACAAAAAATTGGTAAACTTAATTTATTCTGAGTTAATAGATCGAGTGCATGTACCTAACCTAACCTAACCTCGACTAGTATTTGGTGTCACGAAGTCACAAAAAATTGGCAAACTTAATTTAATCCGAGTTAATAGATCGCGTGCATGTACCGAGGGAGCGAGTAATTACCCAAATGTAGCCGCAATGAAGTCAAATGATGGTCCTGCAAGAATAAATCGGACTTCCAATCACTTTTCGACTGGTATTTGGTGTTAGGAAGTCACAAAAAATTGGTAAACTTAATTTAATCTGAGTTAATAGATCGAGTGCATGTACCTAACCTAACCTAACACAACTCAGATTAAATTAAGTTTACCAATTTTTTGTGACTTTGACACCAAATAATAATCAAGAAGTGATTCCCAGCCCGATTTACGCTTGTAGGACCATCATTTGACTTCATTGCGACTACATTTGGGTAATTACTCGCTCCCTCGGTACATGCACGCGATCTATTAACTCAGATTAAAGTAAGTTTTCCAATTTTTTGTGACTTTGTGACACCAAATACTAGTCGAGAAGTGATTGGCAGTCCGATTTATTCATGTAGGACCATTATTTGACGTCATTGCAGCAATTCATCCCAGATAAGTCGCTCATTGACTCTATCAAGATTGGGAGGTCTATATATTACTCCTGTGATTAATTTTTCCCTACCGTTGCTTAATTCTATCCAAATTGTTTCTGTATTCCGCTCAGTTTTTATTTCCTTATTTATTTCACACTTCAGATTATCCCTAACATAGATTGCTACTCCGCCTCCTTTCCTGGTCTGCCTATCGGTATGGAAGAGTTTGTAACCCGCAATTTGGTATTCGACTGGTAATTACGTGTGTCTAGGTTGATCCATGTTTCAGTGAATGCTATTATATCGATTTTTTCTGTACGTACCAAGGCCCTAATATCATCCATTTTGTTTCTCATACTTCTACTGTTCGTGTAGTAGACATTTAAGTTAGTCGTGTTCTGAGTCCTCCCCTTACCGCGTTTAGTTTTAAACTCCCTGTTTAATTTAGTTTTGTCATCATTCCTAACACTATTTCCCTGTAATCTATTACTTTGTTTACCCGCTCCCACTGCAGTTTCCACCACCCCCGTGCCCATATGTTCCCCTAGCAGTTTAAAGACTTTGATATCCTTTGAACTGCCCCCTCTAGAGACCCAGCTAGGGTTGCCACCCCATCCCGAGACAGGTGCACCCCATCCCTAGCATAAAGTTCCCTTCTGCCGTAGAAGTTGTCCCAGTTGTCAATGAATGGGACCGATATTGACTTGCAATATCTGTCAAGACGGTCGTTGACACCAACCGCCCTTGACAACCATTCACTGCCAACTCTCCATCTAGGCAGGACACTGCATATGATTGGGATCCCTGCCCTAGACGTAATACGATCTATAGCTGCCTTGAACTTATCAAGTAGCTCCTCGCTCCTACACCGGCCAATATCATTGCCTCCTGCACTGAGGCAGATAATGGGTTTGTTCCCATTACCAGACAAGATATTGTCCATCCTGTCAATTATATCCCCCACCCTAGCTCCTGGCAAACACACCCTCATCCTATTTTTGTTTTTACCACAAAAGGCCCTGCCCATGTACCTTACCTGTGAGTCACCAACAATTAAAGTTTTTATACCTTCCTTGTCATCCCTGTCCCTGACTGTACTAACGTCCAATTCGTCTATCAAGGGACTGAACGGGTTGGTACACTTAGCTGTTGTTGTTGTCGTATCCTTGGTGTACTTCTTCACCTCCAGCTTCGTCTTCCCACTACTCACAACCTTTCACTCGCTTGAGTTTTCGTCAGACACTGGCTTTCCCTGTCCAGCCTCTCCTTTTAACCTCGCCAGTTCTTCCTTTAATTTCAGGTTCTCCAATGTGGCCCTGTCAATTTCATTATGTGAGGTCACCTGACGTGATGTCATGTAATTCACCCCCAAGCGTGATACCCCTTTTCTCGGCTCCTCTGGGACTTTTGTGGAATTTTCTTTATGATTGCCATTAAATTCTAATTGGAATCTTATTTCTTTGTGATCACTGTTAGCAAGTTCCTTCCCTACCACGACATTATTCAAGAGGTTTTCTCTGTTTGACAGAACTAAATCGTACCCTGGGTGGATTCGGTTATTTGTTGACCTGGGAAACAGTCCTGGATTGTTTCAAGAAAATTCCCTGATTCTTGAGTTACCCTTAAGGTCGATCCAATCTATTTGGCTAAAGTTGAAGTTGTCTACTATACAGACTTTGCTATGTATGGAAGCCCTGCACATTTCATCCCAAATAAGTCGCTCATTAACTCTATCCAGATTAGGAGGTCTATATATTAACCATCGGTTAATTCTATCCAAATTGTTTCTGTATTCAGTTCATTTTTTCTTTATTTATTTCACACTTCAGATTATCCCTGACATAGATTGCTACTCCGCCTCCTTTCCTAATTCTCCCTATCGGTGTGGAATAATTTGTAACATGCAATTTGGTATTCGACAGGCAACTCGCGTGGGTGTAAGTTTATCCATGTTTCGGTGAATGCTTTGGCTCGCTTCACACGGTGTGTAGAAAATATGGTACAGTATTGCATTACTGTCCCGTTCACCAGCTGAGCGCATGCTACATAGCATACATATTGCCCTAGTAAACATAAGTGGGTGAAAGGAATCAATAAAGGGGATATAGATAAAGTTCTTATAATATCCGAGCAGGATAGGACTCGGAGCAACTGATTTAAGTTGGATAAGTTTAGGTTTAGGAGGGAGATAGGAAGGAACTGGTTCACAAATAGGGTGGTGGACGAGTGGAACTAGCTTAGCAACTTTGTAGTAAGTGCTGGAATGCTGGAAAGTTTAAAATGAGGCTAGATAGATTCATGGATGATAGAGAGTGGTAGTAACTCTCGACAGGAGCTGCCATGCACAGGCCAACCGGCCTATTGCTGACTCCTTCTTTGCTTATGTATGTTTCTTATGTTCTTATAGCGCTATTTGTTTACAAATGAAATAGATGTTTGCAACCACAAGCACCCACTTGTGTTCATTCTGTGAATCACATTTTTTTCATATAATTATGTCATACATTGAGGGAATTTTTATAAAAACATCACCCTAATTGCTAATTTATGAGAACACCGCAACCACCAGAAGGAGTTGTTCGATTTTGTGATTTTTTTCCGCAGATGTTCTTATTTTAAGCATTTTAAAAGAGGCAACAACTTTTAATTTTAATAATTAGTATTTTTTTTAAATGTTTTCACTATATACAATCATAAATCATTAGTTGTCAGGGAATGAAGCATGAGGGAAGTTGTGGGGTAAAACACAGTGATAAACTGATCATATGATTTCAAATGACGTCACTACGTGGTTCATACGTGAAGAAATTTATTACTTACTGTAAATACCCCCTCCAAAATAATCTGCTGGGTCTGTGCACTTTTTTGTTTGCTTTGTTTACAACTGACCTGCTGGGTCCAAGCATACTCTCACGTCCATAAAAAACGTAAATTTATACCATGACACTTCAACAGTCTTGTAACTAACACTCCTTTGTATGAACCCAAGCATCTTGTTAGCTTTGTTTTGAGCATACAATATATGCATTGTCTTGGTTTAAGGTGTACTTACCATTTCTCTATATCAGTGGTTCCCAACCTGTTGTCCGGGTCTCGGGGAACCATATTATGGATCCCGTAAGGGTTTATTAGAAAATTTTTAATTATATAGGAGTCTTTGTAAGAGTGAAATTAATAAAATATGTAATAACTTGATACAACTATCGTGTACAGGACGTGTGTATTTATCCTAGACCGGGCCCAGAGATAGAGCCAGCCTTCTCACCGGCACACGTCTTGTCCAAGAGTAAATTTAAAAGGTATGTATCTGGTAACAGTTAGAGGTGTAAAACTGCAAATACTGTACAAAAGATTGGGGACCACTGGGACTATATCAATGTTGTTTATCTGATATCCAGTGTCCCTATTACCTTTCTTGGGTGAAGTCTTGATTCGAGGAAGTTTACTGTAATCCTCTTAACCTATTTTAGTGAAGCTTTTTTTTTAATGGTGAATCTCAACTTATAATAAACATTAATGTAAATTCATGAGAAATTGAGACTAAGGAATTGCTAATACTGTACAGTACAGGAAGAGGCTTTTAGAGTTAGCAGTCTTTAATTTGCCAAACAGGTTGGAAAACTGGCTGTTCACTATAGTATTGATTTTTAATTAAATTTTTTTTTCACAGATGAAGTTCCTAACAGCAGCAGTGTTAGTAGCCGTGCTGGCATCAGCATCGGCCGTGTCTTTCTTCTCTGTTGTACTGGAAGAGTGGGAGGCATTCAAGGTAAGAGTTTAAAAAAATGTAACATGAAACTTAGGGTTATATGATAGCAAAGGAACACACACTGTATTGTAATCAGAGAGACAACTTCTAACATTTTATTGTGAAGAACTTTATCCGAATGAAAGGAGTAAAGTTGTCTCCGAGTCTTTGTTAACCTTGTTACCATATAACCATATTCATGCCAAACTTAACAATCAACTTGTATCTCAACTTGAAACATGGGTTCCCCCCAAAAAATTTTCCTCATAATAATTTGTTGCTGGCTACTTTAGTATTATTTAAAGTCTTAAAGGTGTGAAATCTTGGGAGTTAATGATGATAGCTTTTTTTACACTTGCATTCTATGTGTCTAAAATTAGGCATCCATATTCAATAACCTGAGAAATTAACACATCAAATTACCCGTCATTCCATAGATGCATGGCACTGTTTATCTGGCATCCCAGAACACTCTAAAAACTGGCCATGTTCTGGAGCAAATTATTTAAAATGAGTGCCAAGTCATTCCCAGGCTGAGCATGGAAGTTTCCAAAAATTTTTCTCCTGTTAGCTATATGTTATGTTAAGGTAATTTTTCAGCTTGTAATTTCGAGGGGTATATATAATTATCATTATTTTTTCTACTCGAATACAGTACAGTATAATTATACACACACAATCCTACATACAGAATATGCAAAAAAAAAAAATTATTATCACAGGTAATACGTATTTTTTAACTTTTGGGTAGATATGCTTATTCTTCCTTTTTTAATCAGTTACATACACACACTCTTAAATGCAGACTGTGTAAAAATAAATTATAAAATATAAAGTTTTAAGTACCGTATCTATGGGTTTCCACCGTGAAGCTGTGTAGCAAGTATGTGGAGGTCAGATGGTCCACTACTCAAAGCACTCACTTCAATGCAGTGTGTACACTGACTTGTATAATTTTTGCTATTTTGGTGCTTTCTTTATTGGTATTGCTTTTGTTATTGCTGTTTATATTCCTACAATTTAAAATTTTATTGTTACAGTGTACACTGTACAGGTAAAGCTACTTTAAGGAGTGAACCTAGTGATCTGAATAAAATCTTCGCAGCCAGTTACAGAGGGTTTTTTGTACGTTGTGTTCTGCGTTAAGTCATGTCTTGGGACAGATGTGAGAAGGGTGTTGTTATCCATTGTGACTCCACCAAACATTGTAAGTTTCTTTGGGTATTCCAGTCTCTTCCTGTACAAACACTGAACTATCAAGTTCGTAACAAAGAACTTATTAACTGCCTAAATGGCTAGTAAGCTAATAAATGTTGAAATTATAGTTTTGATTCATAAGAATATACTGTACCTAGTGAAAATTATACAGGTTAAACCATCATATAAATCTGTTAAAAGCTGTCCTGAATTAATATTTTTTTATGTAGGAAATTTAAACACCACCTTAGATTATAATAGATGAATATAAGAGATGTTTTCTCTTTTTACGGGGATTAGCCCACCAGGGCACTGACCCAAATCAGGGCCTGGGGGGCAAAAATTTCATAATAATAATAATTCATTGTAAATAAAATATATTATAACGAATGCAAAGTTGAAAATAAAATAAGGATAATAATAATAATAATAATGATAATAATAGAGAACCATAAAGAAATACAAGAATTAAAAAAAAGAAAAAAGTGAGAAGCCATCATACGAGTTTACATTCATTCAGCATGTATATTGACAGTGTGGATATACAATAGACATACTGTACATGTATGCTTCTTCTTGAGTGGTTTGAGAAATGAGAATACACGAGAGTCAGTAATTAGGGGAAACACTGATTTCTGGAGGAAGATTGAGAAATACAAGAGATGTTGAAGAGTACCAGAGGATTGGAGGAAGTGGTGATTATTAATTTATTAGTTTACTTGTTGTTTGGACCTTCATTGTCCAGTGTTCGTACAGGAGGAAACTGGAGTACCTGAAGAAAACATGGGATGCTTGGTGGGGTCACTGGATAATAACCTTCTCACATCTGACCTAGTCAAGGGATTGAACTTTGGACATATTAGTGAGAAGCAATGTTGTTAATGTGTATGAGTAGATAGTGAGTAATCCGGTAAGTGGCATTTCAGACTTGCTTATATGTGAAGAACAGGAAAGTTACAGAAAAGGGAGGGGACATATTGGCAAGAGAATTTAAATAAGTTGTTCATCTATTGCATTCACTATTAGCATGGGAAACCAACCTGATGCTTGTGAACATCATAGTCTGGTAGTGCTCCTCTATACTACTGTACAGACTGTACACTACTTAAAATCATTCTTGTGAACACCAGTTCTTAGAACTGCACATATACAGTATGGAATATGGTTTTTTCTTCATATTTATACAGGAAAGCCTCTGATAACGATGGTTCTACTAATGACTATTCATATTTAAGACCCTGGTTAATTTAGGACCCAATTCAATTTACGCCATTATTTTAGTATAAATAATAACTAAATCCCGACGTATTATAAAAAAACCCACACCTTGCGCACGAAGGCTGCTGGGCTTGCTAGTGGTGGCGCCAGCATCACTAGTACAGCTCCTCCTCGACTTACGACGGGGTTAGGGACCCAAATCCAGGTCACAAGTCGAAAAATGCCTAAATAATACTTAGTAAATCTAAAATGGGAGTCTCTTTTTCTTCTCAGCACCACAAAACTCTCACTTTTAAGCTTGCCAGCCATTTTAAAGTGAATTACAAACGAAAATTTTGTCTGTGTACTGACTTTAGGACTCGAAAATACGTAATTTGATCAAATTTTGGTACGACTGAGGCAGGTCGTAAGTTGGGGAGGAGCTGTGTAAACAATCGCAGTTGGTTGGCCCATTGTTTTCACGCATCTGAAAAGAAGAAAAACTTTCTCAGGTTTCTTACGGCATTTTTGCGTCCCTATTCAACATGAGCAAGAGAGCAAGTGATGGTAGTGTTGTTTCAAAATTTAATAGAAAGTGTATACCGGGTAAGCTTAGCCAAGAAACTAGCTGCGTTAAAACGATATGAGAAAGGTGAGAGGTCTGTGGATATTATATGGAGCAAGCAATAAACATACTTTCTGAAGTGGATCCACTAACAGAACAAAGCATTGCAATTTAAATAAACGAAGCATTAAAATTAACAGGGACATGATAAATGCAAATGACCTCTACATAAAGATGTATAATGAGAAAAGAAAGCAGCTGTGCAAGGTTTTTTCGACAGCTTTATTATTCGAAGGCTTAAACCATCAACTTCAGCTACAACATTAAATTCAGCATCATAAGCAGCTTCAACAACAACTATAGAGTCAGTAACAGTTTCAGCAACAGCTTTATGGAAAGCTACAGCCAGAGTTGAACCTACAGCTTCAGCAAGAGTTAAACCTGATGACTTTGTCATCTGAGTAAAAACTCACACAACATCATTGGCTGTCCTTTTGTTTTAGACTTTACCACTATTGGCAAGTAGAATTTTTGTTTTACATTCGTAAGTATTATTTAAAGCATATATGAAGGGGTCGGGGAAAATGGGAGTCAAAAAACAAGCAGGTCCTGGGAAGTAGTGAAACAGAAGTAGATAATGCTGAAAATATAGTTAGTCATAATAACAAACATCAAAGTAATAAATGTAAAACAGATAGAAACGGAAGAAATATATTGAGTGTTTATTATACTAATAGTAGAAGCCTGTGTAACAAAATGGACCAGCTCAGGGCCATTGTTAGTAAAGAGAACATAGATATAATTGCAATAACGGAAACATGGATAAATTCAAACAGCAAGCATTTTTTAGCAGAATTTCATATTCCAGGATATAACCTATTTAAATTTGACAGAGTAGGAAGGAGAGGTGGCGGTGTAGCAGTGTATATCAGGGTGTCATTAAAAAGCTGCAATAAATCAAACATTAAAACAAATAGCGACAATGAAAGTATTTGGGTAGAGATTGGTGAGGGCAGTGAATCCGTAGTCATTGGTGTTATATATAGACCACCTAATTTGAGTAGGAACGATGGTAAATTGCTATGGGAGGAAATAAAGAAGGCATCTGATAGAAGCAATGTATGTATTCTAGGCGATTTCAACTTTTCAGGCATAGATTGGAAAAATCAACTTAGCGATAATGAATCTGAAGATTTTCTAGAAGTAGTACAGGATAGTTTTTTATATCAATTCATAAACTCGCCCACTAGAGGAAATAATATCCTCGATTTAGTTCTCAGTAATAATGAAAATCTAGTAAAAGATGTTGGGATTGGAGACGAACTAGGAAACAGTGATCATAAAGCCATATATTTTAACATAATATGGGATGGCAGGAAGAAGGAAAATTCGGCCTTGATCCCGGATTTTAGGAAGGCTAATTACGGTAGCATAAGGAGAGACCTAAGGGATGACCCTATGGTCAAAAGATTAATCCCCCCCACACCTCCGGAAACTGTCAACTTAGGACGGGATAACCCCGAATTTAATTTAGCAGCTACTTATGAACAATTTATTGCGACAATCAATAATGCCCAAAATAAACACATCCCTAAAAGAAAATTCAGATCGATACGGAACCAACCAAAATGGATGAATAATAGACTCTTAGATCTTCTAGGGAAAAAGAAAGGAGTATATAGAGAAGTTAAGAAAGGCGAAAATCACTTACTTGGTTACTATCAGAACCTAACAAGACAGGTAAAAACAGAAATTAGGAAAGCAAAGAGAAATTATGAAATCAAGGTAGCAAACGAATCGAAAAATAACCCCAAAGCTTTTTATCAACTGTATAAATCAAAGGTTAGAGATACAATAGGTCCCCTTAAAACTACGACAGGAGAAATGACTGATGATGAGTTAGAAATGTGTAGTACGTAAAATAGTCATTTTCGCTCCGTATTCACAAATGAAAACCTAGCATGCTTCCAGTTCATAAGGTATAACGACAGTATAGAAAATATGTTGATGAATATCAATGACATTTAGTAACTATGTGCTTAAAGTAATTAACAAACTGAAGTCTTCATAAATCGCCTGGTCCAGACGAGGTATATGCTAGAATATTAAAAGAATGTAGAGATGAGTTGAGTAATCCATTAGCAGTTTTATTTAATAAGTCATTAGAATCGGGCCTAAAAGCGAAGAAGCTTGGAAACTTGCAAATGTAGTTCCGATTTTCAAAAAAGGGTGGAGCAAATCAATATCAAATTACCGTCCCATTAGTCTCACGTCAATCATAGGCAAGTTGTTAGAGCCAATTATTGCTACAAAAATCAGAAGCCACCTTGAAACATTCAACTTAATTCATTCTTCAGCACGGGTTCACCCAGGGACGTTTTGTCTCACAAATTTGCTTAGCTTTTTCTCAGAAGTATATGAAGCGGTAGATAATGATAAGTCATATGATATAATTTATTTAGATTTCAGTAAAGCATTCGATAGTCCTTATGAGATTGATAAGGGAAGGTAGAAGCATGGAATAGGTGGATCCGATATTAAAATGGTTAGGTCATGGTTAACTGGTAGAAACAAAGAGTCAGCATAAGTTAAAGTCAGACTGGGGTGCGGTCAAAAGCGGGAGTTCCCCAGGGATCTGGCAATGGGCCCTCTGCTGTTTGTTATATTCATTGTTAATGATCTTGATTTGAGGCATAACTAGTAGGATTAGTAAATTTGCAGATGATACCAAAAATGGAGGTATTAAGTTGAGACAGTGACTTTAGACACCTTCAAAGAGATCTAGATACCTTACATATGAGGTGGTCAATGTGATTGGCAAATGGGTACAATACTGATAAATGCAAGGTACTACAGATAGGGAAGACGAATACTGGCAAATGAATTTTAATACTGATAAATGCAAGGTACTACAGATAGGGAAGACGAATACAAACGTTAAGTATAAACTAGGTAACACGGAAATAGAAAACTCAGTTTGTGAAAAAGATCTAGGTGTATTTGTTAGCAACGACTTGAAACCTAGAAAACAATGTATTAGCGTTCGCAACAAGGCAGACAGGATTCTTGGGTTCATATCTAGGTCTGTGAGTAACAGAACTGCTGACCTTATCTTGAAACTTTACCTAGCATTAGTGAGGCCACACATGGATTATGCGGTTCAGTTCTGGTGTCCCTATTATAGAATGGACATAGATTCTTTGGAGAGAGTACAAAGAAGAATGACAAAAATGATCCATAAAATTAGAAACCTTCCATATGAAGAAAGACTGAAAAGCTTAGGCTTACATTCATTAGAGAGGCGTAGAGTTAGGGGAGATATGATAGAGGTGTACAAGTGGGTAAGTGGGATTAACAAGGGTAAAATGGAAGATGTTCTGAAGCTCAGTAATAACGAAATAACTAGAACAAATGGCTTTAAATTAGGATTCAGATTCAAGCGCAATCGAGTGCTATAGTAGGATCGGGGACGCTTTATTGGATCTGGAAGTGCTATGGGCCATGTCCTGCAGTATCCCACTTTCTTATGTTCTTATGAACAGTAAATAGGTGTTGCTTTCATATTCTTATGTAGAGAAATAACGATATGTTTTCATATGTACGCACTTACATTCATTGGCGTTCCCAATCGTCCCGCTTTATTTCTTTACCATTAGTGTTTAGCTACTTCTATTGTTCCATTTATTAATATTAAATAACATTACTTAAATCATACATACAGGTTTTCATTTTTTTACATTTAATTCATTATAGCTACAACCAGGGTCTTATTTTCTTAAGTTTATAATGTAGAACCATTGTCACTCATGAAGACAATGCCTTCTTGTCTCTTCTTGTGGGTTTTAATATTCTATGTATTACTAATGAATTGCATTGTTCATTTCACATATATAAACATTAATTCAATCAAATAAATATTCAGTAACAAACATAATGAATCTTTTGTACATATTCTTAAGTTAAATGACTGTTTCCTTGAGTACGCACGTATACATTCGCCCACTATCAGTCTCACCTTTTTCTTTAATATCAGTGGTTACCACTTTCCGTGGTACCCTGTTGGTTGAATTAACCGGGTAAAGTGGGGGTTGACTATATATATATATGTATATATATATATATGTATGTATGTATGTATATATATATATGTATGTATGTGTATATATATATATACACATATATATATATATTATATATATATATATATATGCTGATAACCACAAGGAAAGAAGAAAACACGAAGTTCCCAAGCGCTTTCGTGTAATTCACATCTTCAGGGGTGAGTACAGACTCCTTGTGGTTATCAGCATATACCTAGATCACGCGCACCTACAGTGATTTACTTGCATATATATATATATACATATATACATAGATATATACATATACTATTACCAATAAAACATAGTCTTAAACCAAACTTGTTCACAGCTTGAGCATGGCAAGAAATATGATACAGATGTGGAGGAATCTTTCCGTATGAAAATCTTCACAGAGAACAAGCACCTTATTGCTGCCCATAACAAATTGTATGCAACAGGACAAAAACCTTACAGGCTCAGAATGAACAAGTATGGTGATATGGTGAGTACCTCTACTATTTACTTTTATTTGATTTAGTGGTATACAGTATTGATGTACTGTAGAGTATTTATTTTAGGTATTGTTAGACTTAATTACTTTAAATATTGATGTTTCTTGTGGATTTCTTCTAACTCTAAATTGCCCCATTATTAAAAATTGAATTTTTGTGTTTGATTATCAATTATTTAATTTAGTACAGTAATGCATTCAATCTCAAATGCAAAATTTGAGAAAAACACAAATTTCTAATTTAGTTTAGTCCATATCAGTTTAGAATGAATTTCAGTTTTGTCTTCCATTCTGTCCAAGTGTTTATCCACCAATTTTTGTGAGACAGATATTTCCGAGAGGAATATCCTGATTCTTTTGACATAGTTGAAGAATGTACAGTGCTGTGTTGTGCTTTGGCCTCTATTGGGGGGGAGCAATTTTTCAATTCAATGCATTGTATGTGGCAATAGTTGAGATAATGTTCTTTGTCTTGAAGCTTCAGTAATTTTGTGGGATTTGTTAGTCTTCATTCTTGAATGGAATTACTCACACCTCTTGTTCCATGCCCATGGCCTATTGTCCTTGTGAAAGTGATATTTCATGAGAGGGTTTGCATTATTTCTTGAAACTTGGCAAGTACATTGATTCCCACAAAATCTCCAATGAGTTCAATAATAGTCATTATGTGATTAAAATTTGGCTGGAAGGCTGCCATTTTTATTTTAGGCATTTTTCATAGGCAACAAGAGTGCAAATTAATAGTGCCCTTTGGACTTTTTTTATTGGTTGAAGGGAATAGTGGCAGAAACCCATTTATAGTTTCTTAAAGGAAAGATTACCCCTATGCTATTGTTGGTGAAATGGCAGTTTTTATGATAAAATATTTATGAAAAAATAAGGAATCGAATTATATACGCATAATATTTTTGAAGGGTTAAAATTCATGCAGTTCTGTAGGTTATTTACAGTGAACGATATCTACCCGGAACATGCTCGCTGTAGGCTAACCTTACCAGTAAGCTCCTTCATCCTGGGCTTGTCTACCATACCATACATTTATTGTTTCATCCATGAAGAGCAGAACCTCATTCACTATATATGCTGCTTTAAACCTACAAATACCTGAAGCAAATGAAGATTTACAGATAATTTTCTTTTTATTTGTGTTTGTTAATATTGCTGGTGGATTTGTTGCCAAGATAGACACGTCACCAAATCCCATGTCATCCCCTTGCCCTCACACTACCAGGCAGACCTGTGAGCTGTTATGGTTATTTGTCTACTCTTATTTTGAGGTAGATAAACGTAATTTTCATATATTTGTTACTTGGTTACATATATAGTCCTGGACGAAAGTTTTTTGAGGTATGACCAAATTATATACAGTAGGCACAAACTGTATAAAATATACACAAAAATAATAGATAATCAAATGAAAATACACTTGTATCCTCTATTACAAAAGAAAACAAAATCTATTTGTTGGACGGTACTGAGTACAGTAGATGCATTTTACCGCCGATCATTTAACTGAGCCAGAGCCTTAGCATACCTGACCGCACTAAGGATGGAGGTGAGAAAGGAAACTCGCAATGGCATTTTCTATATATATATTACATGTACAGAGCAGTCTGGTGCTGGGAAGTTGCTGCGTGGTAGAGGAGTTGCTGTGGAGGAGGTCTCCTCTGCTTAAGTGCTTGGTGTTGTCAGCTCTCACGGCGAGGCAGGGGGGTATTTATATCTTTCTGCCGGATCAAAAGTTGAAGTGCAAAGGTGAGAAATGCTGCTGATTGGCTGATATAAAGGCGGCAACTGACCAATCACCGCACAGTTTGAATGTGAGGGCTGATTGGCTGGGAAGAGGACAGCAAGTGACCAATCAGCAGTTGTAGGGGAGAGTATCCACTACAATACTACTATTTAACTGCGCTTGGAAGATATTTAATTTTCCGCCAGTGGGCCAATTGGCCCATACTGGCAGTTCTGTTTACACCAAACCCCTATTGCTCATATATCCGTCCAACCTCGATCATATCGCCCCTCACTTTAAATCTCTCAAGGGAGTGAAAATTTGGGATTAGTCTTGTCATCCTCCTCTGTATGCTCTTTTGGGATTCAGTATCCATTCTGTAGTATGGTGACCAAAGCTGAACTGCATAATCCAAGTGAGGTCTCACAAGTGCAAGATATAATTTTAGGATTACCTCGCTAGTCTTGTAGCCAACACTTCTTCGGATTTCTTTGTCAGTGCTGCTCATCTGGTATCTGGTTTCTTTGTTTACATCTCCTATGCTATGTTCGTTCTCCGGGCAGGGTGAAACTATGGGCAAGTTTCTTGATGCCATTTGCCTCTGTCTACGCAGCAGTAATTGGGGACCTGCATGCCAACCAATTTGCGGATCGTATTGTGGGGTATTGGTTAGCCAGTGCAGTTGCGAGTTGTCCAGTCTTCTCGGACTATTCCATGACACTGGGTCATGCAGCTCGTTAACTCAGGGTCTGGTTATTGTGCTGGCGACAGCTTCTACATCTTAAAACAATTCACGCCTAGGTGACCCTTGGGCTGTCCATCCTTGTTACACAAGAGGCAACCATTATTGTGATAATTTTCCATACTTTTTTTATATTTTAGCTTTTCAATATTTTAGATTAGTTTTGTATTTGTTATTCAGTAGTAACACAAAATTTGAAATAGTACTGAATATTTTTGGGTTCATTAAGGGACTGGGCGTAATAAAGGTGCAGGGTGTCTTCTGGGTAAAATGTGGGTTGGCAAATACAGTCATTATCCTCTCGTTTATGTCTTAATATTAATATTGGTGCTGGCATTGTTGCCGAGTTAAACTCATCACTGTAGCCACAACCCTTAGCCCTCTCCCTGCTAGGCTGAAGTGTGAGCTATATTGTTAAGGTACATGCACAATTTTACAGATGGAATGTGCCCCAAATTTTTTTTATAAGGTCTAAAACATAAAAAGAATAAAAAATTCTGTGTTAGACCCCACGCCCCGGTTGACGTTCAAGAATGTCCACCTAGGGCGCCCCTGTTGACATTCCAGAACTCGTGCCTTTTCGCAGCATTGTTTGAATGTCCAGTGCGGGTTATCAGGTTCCAGTGTGACTATTGCATGTCACGCCACATGCTTGGCCACAGGGAAGCTTCCTGAATGTAAGTACCTACTTTTGTTTGTTTCATTTTTATTGATTGTCCATTGTATCATGTTGTATCAAAGTAATAATGCTAAAAGTAGTATAGTTGTATTGCAGTGTAATTACTGGAAAAATAATGCTACGAATATGTAATAAATGTAGTTATTTGTGGAATTATTATTCCGATAATTATATATATGCGTTACTTACTCTACCAAACACAGAGACAGTCAGACTGCGTGTGTGTCGCCGAGCACTTTTTATGAAAAATAATGCAAATAAATATTCTAAATGAATTATTTATAAGAAGTAAATATATGCATTACTGGCCATCCCGGACACAAAGACAAGCAGAAAATGGCCGTTAAGTGTGTACGTGACCACGAGCGCTCGCCACTGCAGCCCCAAGGAAGTTTCTAGAGGGTCAATATATAGTTTTTCTTCCTTTTTGATTGTTTTATCATTTAACCCTTAAGCCCCGGGTTAGGGTGCCACTGGCAGTACCCCCCACGTGGGGTAATTCAAGAAAAATCAAAAGAAAACCTAAATAGTGACCCTCTAGAAACTTCCCTGGCAGTGCTGAGGAAGGGAGGGGGAACGATATAAGGGGATAGTGTTGTTTTGACAGCTGAGCTCCTGGTCACCTACGCACTTACCAGCTATTTTTAGTTTGCCTTTGTGTCCAAGATGACCATTAATGCATATATTTACTGATCATAATACTTATCTGCTATAAATATTTCATTTAAAATATTGTATTTGCATTATTTTAAATAAAATGTGCTTGGCAACACACACGCAGTCGGTCGCCAGGCTGTCTGGCTGTTTTTGTGTTTGGTAGAGCAAGTTATGCATGAAATAATAATTCCACAAATAAATACATTTATAACATAATCATAGCATTATTTTCCAGTAATACTACACTACAACTACTCTACCTTTAGCAATATTACTTTGATACATGATAAAATGGACAAACAATGCGTAATAACTGCACTGAGCCCACCCACGCTACCCTGTGTGTGGTGTGACCACCAAATACTCACAATGGAACCTGATAAACCGCGCTGTGCGTTAAAAAATGGTGCGAAAAGGCGTGTTCCGGAACATCAACCAGGGCGCCCTAGATGAATGTTCCAGAATGTCAACCAGGGAGCAAGGTTTAAAAATGGAATTTGTCCTATTAGGAGGTGAACCCATTACACTATATGTTTAAAAAAACTATGGGAAATGTCATAATAGTGCTTACCAACCCTATCGAGAATCGGGAGATGAAATGTTCATTTTGAAAGACATCATACCATAAGTAAACTTAATTTATTGGTTTTATATATGTCAGTGTCACTTTAATTCTCTGTCTCTCTACTGTAATTATTCATGTCTTTAGCCACTCATCACTTTCACTCATCCTCATCATAAGTTGAGAATCATAAACTTCTAAAAATAAAGCATCGAAACCTCTTTTAGCTTCATCAAGAATTTGTCTCAACAATGAATGGTTTCCGGTGGAATCATACTGGAAGTTACAAGTCTAGCCGTCTGTACACTGGTGCCTCCTTCATTGAACCTGATGATGATGTAGTATTGCCCAAGGCTGTTGACTGGAGGGATAAGGGAGCAGTTACCCCTGTTAAAGACCAGGGACAGTGTGGATCATGTTGGTCATTCTCAGCTGTAAGTATTGTTTTTTCTCCATCTGTTATTTGAGAGTTTAAGACTATTTTTATGCAATAATCAATATTAATTGTTCATAGAAAAATGTGTTAAAATTTTTAGTTTTCCATTAAAGTTGTTATAATGTTTCTGATACTCTAATTGTTGATATTTGATTCGTAGACTGGTGCACTTGAAGGGCAGCACTTCCGCCAGACTGGAAAGTTGGTGAGTCTCTCTGAGCAGAACTTGATTGACTGTTCTGTGAAGTATGGAAACAATGGTTGCAATGGAGGACTCATGGACTATGCCTTCCAGTACATCAAAGATAATGGTGGAATTGACACTGAAGGTTCCTATCCTTATGAGGGAGAGGTAAGAAGCTAAATTTATGGTTACATCGTTGGTTTTTTACGGGGAATGATGCAATTGTTAAATTTGAGATAGATCTTATTCATACCTTGTGCATTATAATGTATACAAAATATATATTAAATGTACTGTATTGTAAGGAATGGGGAATAAATTCAATTATATAGATTTAAATGGAAAGTATTTTGAAATTGTGCTCGAGATAGCTGTTTAGAGATGAAATTTTAAAATATTTGTTCACTCCTGCAAATTTTATCCTGCCATAACATAAGGAAACCAAAATCAAGAGCAAATGCATACTCCTTTTATTTTCTGTCATTAATTCTTATTGCTGTAAGAGAGATGTTCTACTTTGGTTTTATGTGTGTTTGAGTAAATGTTGATTTTAAATTTTCTCATATACTGTACATTATAGGTAATTGAAATTCATATTTTTTTACTGCATGGAGTGGTGAATTCTGTATTGTTAATGCAATGCTGTTTTATGAAATAGGATGACAACTGCCGCTATAACCCACGTGAATCTGGTGCTGAAGACAAAGGTTTTGTTGACATTCGAGAGGGAAATGAACATGCCTTGAAGAAAGCTGTTGCCACTGCTGGACCAGTTGCAATTGCCATCGATGCTTCTCACCATTCATTCCAGTTTTATCACCATGGTAATAGAATTGATAATAAGGCTATGTTTTTTGTTTTATTTGATAAAATTGCAATTGAATTGTCCGTACTGCTCCCTCATCATTATTGTTTTATGACCATTTTCCATGATGTACTTTTATATATCACAATGATTTTTCCTAATGCAGTATGCTGGGCATTTTTGCTAATATGTTTATCCAAATTATGTTTCCATCATACTGGTCACCACATGCATAGTTAAAAAAAAATCTCCCTTGCAAGGCCTTTCTCACTTTGGAGCAGGTGGCTGAATGTCAGGAATAAACTCGCTTGTTTCATTTAACTGCAGTAAAAGTGTTCTTTGGCCCCAAGACCCCAAAATTTCTATGCCATTTGCTTATTGTTTCATATTATAACTGAATACAAATATCCTTATTTATTTATTTTGTAGGTACTTAACTATCTTGTTGTCTCATTCTTTATTTTCATGTATATATACACATCTTTCCTGTATGGCGTACTATGAGGGTAGGTCACTACAATACAGGCATCTGCCAATATGGAGGAGATTTGTGTTAATTTTATTTATCTGACCATCATAGCAACTTTTCAAAACTGATTTGTGATACATATTCACTCAAGCAATACATCTGACATTTGTGGAACGACCATTCACTTTATTCATAACTTGCTAAGGTAGTCATGATGCTTCTCACTTACATGAAAATGAAATTTAGATGGGAATAAACTGTAATTTGATTCCTTTTATAAATTTTTCTCTTGTCAGTTGATGAATATATAATTTTTTTTCTCACTGTTGATGTTTCTTTTCTTGATAGGTGTTTATGATGAACCAGAGTGCAGCTCAGAACAACTAGACCATGGTGTGTTGGCTGTAGGTTATGGAACATTAAATGGGACAGACTACTGGCTGGTGAAGAACTCATGGAGTACAACATGGGGTGATGAAGGATACATCAAGATGCGTCGTAACCATCACAACCAGTGTGGTGTTGCTTCTGCAGCCTCTTTCCCACTTGTGTAAATAACTACATTGCTCTTTAATATTCCTACATATAATGGGGTAAGCAAGGCCCAAAATCCCCTTCAAATTTAAAATTTGTTATACAGCAATAGTTTTTTATACATGGTTGAACAAATACTAGTTTAGATGAAAGACAGACTTTTTAATTTTTTTTAGCTGGTACTGTACATGTTATCCATGTAGATCTATTTTTCATAGTGTTCATAGTATAACGGCAATTAAACTAAAAATCTGTAGAATTTCAGATTAAATTATGACAATGCCAGAGTTCATGCTAATGTAGAAATGTATCCTATATTATTTCAAATGATTTCTGAAACAATATTTACTGTCAATGAAATGGTGGATTTAAAGTTACAATTTTATTTAGGTGTGACATCTCATAGGTGATCATTTGGTGGTAGTCAACCTTGCATTCAAGAGAAACAATTCATATCCGGGAATTGCATTTATTTATTTTCTTCATTAATTGCCCTGAATATTATACTACCCTGTATATATATTAAGGTTGCTTGGAGTTATCTTCTGTTGGCAAATTGGTTGAGCATAAGATATCTTAAACTTGTGTAGTTCTGAATATGAGTAACTTTCATCCCCAAATTCTACAAAAATTACTGGAGGTTAGGTTACTTTAGATGAAAGTTTGTACAAGTTCAGAGGACAATTTTTTTTTTAAGCCATGGAATAATGTGATCTTTTCTTAATAAACTTTTATACACTTCCTGCTTGTTTTACTGAACCTAATTTATAATGTATTTTAGCTAAGTGGTGTTCTACCATTGGCTGTACAGTATAATTATTATACACTGGAAACAAAAAAGATATTTAGAAATGAAAATACCTAGATGTGCATAATATTTAGAATACAGTATAAAATTTTAATACCAGTTGATGTTTGTGCTTGATGCCCTTGAACAGGTTTTAGAGGCAAAGAAAGTGTATATGAAACTGAAATGCCAAGCACATACAGTAATTTTACTTGATCCCTTGAACAGCTCAGGCTAAAAGTAAAGCAAGTGGTTCAAGATGATGATTGGGTTTTGTACATTTAGCTGAAGGCTCAGGAAAGTTCATGCAATAGTCCTCTATGACCAAGAACTGTTAGCTTAATTTTGAAATGCAGTAAGATCTTGTATTTCGCGTGATTTCATTTGTGTGTTTGAATTTCGCGAGCACTACCTAATGTAACCAAGTCTTATATTTGGCGTAAAGCAGCAAGCTGAATGCTGGCCACTGTCTTGAATGACATCACAGCACTCATACCAGTTAAGTCATTTCTGCTACAACGCGTGTTTTGTCACCGCGAATTGTTTGCAACGCGATTGATGAATAGGGGAATGCTGTTTGTGAAACTCGAACTTTTGCATACGAAAGTTGGCTATAGCACTATTCCATCCTCAACGTTTTAAGCGTAGCGCGGGGTTATGCAATGTCTACAGTTCACGTTCGACATCACTTGTTCAATTGCTTCGTGTCTTTTGTTTGTGAAGTGGTTTTTGAGAGGTACTCTGTCAATTTTTATTTATTTTTTTTTCAAATTTAAGTGTCACCCATAAATACTGTATGAAAAGAATAAGTAAAAAGAATGTTTCGCAGTGAGGACTAGTAACGATTTACATCACGTGATCAATTGAATCGTGCGGTTTCTGTCAATTACTCTGTGATTTTCGCTATTTTCTCCAATTTTGTTGTTAACAATGAATACCGAAAGACAAGGTAAGAAGAATGTTTCCAAGAAGTGTTCTGGTGATCGAATTGCCGGTGGGGAACGTAAAAGAGGTTTACAAGAACACAACTACAGTATCGCGTTGTAGACCGTGCCATCCTAGCGACTGCCCAGGCTGTTAGTGTTTTTTTGGGTGGTGCTACCACCTATCGAGTCACCATAGACAAACTAAATTGGAAACCACACGTCAGTGAAGTTGTCAAATCCTCCAGTTTCCGTCTCCACCTCCTCCGCCGACTCAAGTCCCTCGGAGTTCCTGCACCCGAGCTCCTCAGTGTTTACTCAACATTCATACTTCCCAAGCTCACCTATGCCTGCCCCACCTGGTCTTCTTCCCTAAATGCCACACAACATAAACACCTGGAAAAAGTGCAAAAGAGGGCATGCAAGATCATTCTCTCCCCTTCCTACTCCACATATCAAGAAGCGCTCAACACACTGACCCTTTCGACTCTCACTGACCATCACCACGACCACATCTGCAAATTTGGTAAGAAGCTTCTACACCATCCTCGACACCGGCTCCTACTACCACCTGAGATCCCTAGCCTGAGAATTGCTGTTCGACACCACAACCGCATCCAGCCCATACGTGTTCGAACTGATCGCTATAAGAACAGCCCAGTCCCACCCATTGTAAAAATTATCAATAACTTGTAATAAACCAGTGTATTCACTCCCAGTAAATACTACTTCTTGCACTGTCACTATGTTGAAATGCCCTGTAGTTTGAGCTTTTCCCCATCTAGTTATTATATATCTTATTTATATCACTTATGTTATTTGTATATTATTTGTAATTCGAAACCCATTCCCCAGATATGTAACTGTATATTTTCAGCCTTCTGGCTGCCAAGCTCTTTCAATAAACCGTTAATTATTATTATTATTATTATTATTATTATTTTTATTATTATAATGGTATAATGGCCTCTATCTCTACTCGGGGTCCTACTGGTACTGGTGGGAGTGGGACAGACCCACCTGCGCGGTGAAATAAGGAAAAGGATAAGCAGTGTGTGTTTAAATTACTTGAAGGCCTAAAAACTAGTTTCTGGAAAGAACAATTAAGTCGAAAAAGGCAGAATTTGTATCATTTGGAGGTTATAAATGGGAAAATCAGAGGTTGATGTAGAGTGGCCAGTCTATATTGTTATTTTTCCCATTAGTTTATATACAGTATTTGCATTTGGCGAATTTGAATTTGGCGCAATTTTTCGAGTCTATATTACTCGTGAAATACAAGATCTTACTGTACCTATGATGTATGTTGGTTTGCTCAGGTTCTAATGAAATGATCTTTCTTCTAGTTATTCTGCCCATTGTTTGATGTTTGTTGCAGTTGGGTGCATTTTAATGTTTAATTTTTTTTTTAAATTGGAAAAAATTTTGGTTTCATTTTACAATTTTTTTGGTATTTAATTTTTTAAATTTATTTTCTTCCATCATTTCCAAATTTTGTCAAAAATTTTTCATGGGAGCATAATGTCCTTGTGAAAAAAATCTGTTACTTCGCCATAAAAGCGTCTAAACTGCACTAGGTCCATGTAATTACACGCCTAGCCGTTGTTAGTCTACTACAACTACCTCCTATACAACACAAGGCCTATGGTAGGCCTTGGAGGTCCTATCCAGGGTAGGCCGCCTACCCTGGATAGGACCTCCAACAGAACCCGAGTACTCACAGAAAAGATGGCCCCACTGCAGTAAGACAGATCTACTAACCTCCATGCCCATACTACATACTGACAATCCCTTCACAAAAGGTCTCACACTAGCGAAAATTCAGAACGGCAATACAAAACAGCCAATGCTCAAAATCAACAAATCCAAAAGATAAATCACACAGACATCACAATACTTCCCAACTGCACAACAAAACCCAAGGTGCCAACCCAAACAAAGGCCTACAGTAGAGTCGTTTTTTTTCTTGGCTTAGGTATACAGGATATTTTCTTTGAAGTATAGTTTCTGGATCACTTCCAACACTTCACACATGCCTGATACATCATCCTTTTCCCAGATCATTGTTCTCATATATTTTTATATGATATCTGCGGTAGCAATGTTCACTAATCGTTCACTGACGTAAATAGTATGACCTTCAGACACGATCTACACTTATCCCTTATAGTACACTAGTCCTTATCAATTGGACCTTCCCAATCATCCTATAGATACCTTGAGTTCTCCTTAATGCTATAAGTACATACACTTAATATTAAATGACCGTACCTTGGTACAATTCGTATAAAACAACATACAATAAGTGAGTTATCTCTTACCAAAGTTTCCCGTTTTCTGTGACTACAAGCGCGGCGGGTTTGAATGTTATGTAGCGTAATATGAATTAAAGAGATAATAAGGATGACAATGATGTGCGCAGTACACCATGAGTTTGGGATGGCCAAAGGAACGGTGGGCAGTACTCCTTCAGTCTGTGTTCGTAGGAAAAGCTCAGGATCTAGTTGTCTGTGGATGACTGTCGTGATTATGAGACGTTCTTTAAATCCCTTTACATATTGAGTCAAAGGCATTTTTACATTATTTCTTATCCATGTTTCTTTCAGGACCTCCAGAGGTCCTTTATAGTAACAGTATGTCCATACACTAAAGAGAAAGGACTAAATCTTAACGATCCCTGGGGTCAGGAACGGATAGCATACAACAAAAATGCACTCCCTCCTAACTTTGTTCTATACAATCAGTGGCGGCTCGTGAAAAAAATGGAGGGACTGCAAGCCTCACACCGAGTCCCCACCAAACAATAAGCATGGAAAGCAGAATAAAGTATTTGCCTCGTCACAACCACAGAGCCATTCACATTTCTGATAAACACTGACGTTAAACTGGCGTGAATATTCTTTGTTCCTGCTTATACTATTCTGAAATTCCATGCTTATTGTTTGGTGGGGACTCGGTGTGAGGCTTGCAGTCCCTCCATTTTTTTTTCACGAGCCGCCACTGTATACAATACTTTGTTAACATCGACTTGAACTTAAACGTCTGATGGAAGCGCTCCAAGGCCCCTTGACTCTGGGTGGTAAGCTGTGGCAAGATACCTTAGAGGTAAAATTCGTCCCTTGATCAGATTGAACACCGCAAAGCACACCATACTGGGTGAAAAACCTGGTTAAAGCAGCAACAACATCTTCTGCAGCAATTCTTTTTAACGGGAATACCTCAGGATGTCATGGTCACGTTGACTGCTGATGTATTTAACTAATGATTCTTATTAAACTCCACGACCGCCAAACATGAGTGAGTTAGCGACCCCTGAGAAGAAGACGTGTTTTTCCTCATGGACGCTACACTTGTGTTTCCCTCCCAGAGTCCCGCCTTTGTGAAGACAGTTATCAGTGCGTTGTTATTCCACTTTCTCCTGGGAAGCTCAATCTTGAATTAGTCTGTGTAAATCAACTCAAGTAATTCACCAGACTTTTGTCAACTGAGGGTCATCTTTGAATGAGTAACAGTCAGAGTTGTTTGTAATTATTGTCATGGCATATGTTTATGTGTAGCCATTCAGTTAATTCAGTCAATTGTAGTGAATATCAGTGTTCATCAATGTTCATGCTTTAACAGTTGAATTGTCATTCACCCAGTGTAAGAAGTAATATAACGTAAATACGTCTGTCGTCTAGACAAGAGAGTTGTTTGTGTTGTCATGCTGCGTCCCCTGACACCGCTCCAATATTTCTCCAGATCCCATTGTGATTCTTGCATTGCTCAACAACTGTCCCGGATGTAGTAGAAACCCAGCAGGGACCACATATGAAACGATGGCACCGATGCGGCCTGATTAATGTGCTCCACTGCCTCGTTGGGCCAGACCCCAGACTCGCTATGTGTCTGGCTACAACCGACCATAACAACGGTCGTGAACCCCAGTGTTCCACCTTGGGACCCTCCCTGGAAGTATATGTCCACAGAGAGTGTTGTGACATGTATGTTAGGGATAATTAGTTGGAAATAATTATCCCATGTTGGGTAGT